TGAGAGTCAGTCACGTGAGGATCACATTAGGGGTTCTTATTTTTAAAGTCTAGTTCATTCAAGTCAGAATTGGGGGAGTTGGTGCCCCAAAGTCTGAATTTTTAACTAGAACCTGAATGATTCTTAAGTATAATAGATTTAAAGAACCTGGAACATTACCAAATGATTAGATGAGTTTTTCTTTCTTTCCTTTCCTTTTCTTTCTTTTTTTCCCCTCAGCATTTATATCTCTGTTCTTTGTGATGTTGGGCTCTCATTTTCAGGACATCTCCAAGGCACTAACCCTATAATACATATGGAGAAAATGAACAGTATCTTACTACATTTTGTTCACTTGATTTGAATTTTACAAAACACATTTGTAAAACATATGGAAAACTTGCTTCTGAACCATTGAGCATTACTAGTCTTTATTATCCTGCCATGATCTTCTATTAATTAAGATTTTACCTTAGGAGTGAGAACTGTTTGAATGATAATACATTTACATCTGAGCACTTCACATTGTAGTTACAACGTTTTTACTATGGTATGATCTTGTAAGATTAAATATGAATGCAGAGGGGGTAATAATTTTCCTTCTACCTTTCTCAGTTCTTGGTTGAGACTCCCTGTAATAAAAGACAGATAAACAAGAGAAAAACAAGCAGAAGTTTATTAACATGTATTCAGGGGAGATACCAAGGAAAAATGAGTAAAATTCCTTAAATGGCCCTAGGTACCACCTTAAATACCATCTTCAGCTAAACACAAAAGAAACGTGGGGACTGGGGAATGAGTTATGGGAAGTTACCAGGAAAAGCATGGTAAACAAGGGTACAATATTTTTGTGCATATTTAAGTCACTGCCTGCTCTTTTGGTAAGAGTTTCTTTTAAGTGTCATTTCCCTATTCTGGGTACAGAGAAGGAGATACTCTTAAAATAGGTATTTCTTTTATAAATGTAAATTTTCCTTTCAAAAGGATAACTTCTACTTCATCTTCAGAGCTTCTCTTGTATCTTCCCTTTCTCAAAAGTACAAGTCAAAGTAATCCTTGTTCCAAAGAGGCATATGTTGGGGTGGCGTATTCTTCTACCCTTCAGTGAATGTCACTAAAGGTTTTGAGTATGGTATCAACAGGTCACTGCCCACATCACGGGTATAATGTAAAATTCTTCTAACATATTATGGTCTATGTTCATTGTTCTTTTTTTCTGTTCTGAAGTTCAAAACATTGCAGTTGTTCTTTCTTTTACTGAGTGAAATTGTTTTTCCCCAGGAAACACGTAAGTTATTCCTTATACGTCTTCCCACTTATTCCCTTGAAATGAAAAGTATAGTACCTGGTCTCCATGTTGTTACAGACTAAAAATCCAAGCATATTAAGGAAAGGTGACTTACTCTGAGTGTTGACCTAATCACCAGCAGGAATAGGATGAAATATCATGCAACCCTTGGCTTCATTTCTTGCTTCCTCATTTTTCCTGTGTGGGTTTGACCTTTTTGAAAAGGTCTTCTTTTATTCTGTGCTTAAATATGTGTGTTTAATTCCTGTCTCTCCCTCTCCTCATCCCTTTCATCTTGCCCCCTTTCCCTCCCCTCCCCCCTTTAAATGTCAGAGGACTTCTGTAGACTGTGATTTTATAATAAGGTCACAGTTGATGTCAGATTTTGGCATAAACACTTACCAATTTAATACACAGAAATTTGCTACTTCTCGAATAGCTTCTTGGATATTTTTAAAAGAACTTTTCTCTCTGTCCTTTGCTGCCCCCCTCCAAGTAATATTTGTTCAGAGGGAATATGTACACAGCACGGAAGGCTTAATAATAAGCTTAAAGTCAGTATTTTCCTTCCAGCCCTACCCCTGCAGTCCCTCCCTCCAGTGGTGACACTATCAGTAGTTCCTTCCTTCTGTCCTCCTCCTTTCCTTTCTTCCTTCCCCTCTCTCTCTTCTTTTCTCTCTTTCTCCCTCTTAATACTAACTGGATCCTATTTGCCGTACTAGCTTTCATTTTAATATATTGTTTTGCAGCCTATGGCTTACAGTGTTTCCAAACCAAAATATAATCTACTGCGTTTTAAACAATGATTACATAACATCTCATTGTACCATAATTTCTCTAACTGTTTCTTTAATGATCCAGCATACTATGCAAGTATATCCCTGAGTAAAGTCAAAGTTTTAGGCATGCTGGATGGTCAAATCAGTATTTATATCCACAACAGTGTACAAGTGCCTATTTTTCCAAACCTTCTCCAACACTATTGTCATATCTTTAGTTTCTGTTAATTTCATTCTTTAGGTGAAAAAAGGGTTCTCAAAATTTTGATTTGTTCATTTGTCAGTATGAGTAACATTGGGTATCTTTTGATGTTTGTTGAACATACTTAACATATGTGAGTGTGTTGTTCAGTTCTTTTCTCCATTTTTCTATTGTATTGTTAGTCCTTTTATTTTTCCTTTTGGTAGAAACTTTTCATAAATTGAAGAACTTGCCTTTGGTCTATGTATGACAAGTTTTTTTCTTGGTCTCCTTTTAGGTCTGTTTGTATTTTCCTTGATGTTTTCTGAATTTGATATAATGAATTAAAATGTATATTCTGAGTTCTAATTTTTATTTTTACACATCTTTTTTCTATCACCTTTATGTGTCCCTTTTTAATATAAAAATACTTAACCTATCTGGAAATTGTGTTATAGTAAGGGGCAAGGCAAAGAGCTAATTTATTATTTTCCCAAGTGGTTAGAGGAAGAAAAAGTTTTTCTTGACCCTTTTAGGGTCCCTGGATGGTTCTGAAAATTAAACTGACAAAGACAGATTGACAGGAGAAAAGCACTCAGTTTCTCGTATGTTTTCACGTTCATGAGAGCCATCACAAGAGAATGAGACTCAAAGTTCCCAGAGCAGAAAGTTTTTATATCTTTTAGACAAAGAAACAATAAATTTGTGAAGAACTGGTAAGACAAAGGGGTTTGGGCTAGGTGTAGTAAATGGTGAAGAAGTAACTCAGGAGATAAAGGTTAGTTTAACAAAGTTTGTTTGTAAATTCCTCTGGCACCTCCCTGGACTAATAAGAGTCTGTCTCCAGGAAAAGGAGAATCTATTTCTTACCTTCAGGTGGAAAGCAAGGAGCTTTTTCTGTGTATACTGCTTCTTAAGTGCATTCAGCTCAAAACAGTTTTTATATCAAAGAGGCATTTTAGGGGGCAACATATTCTGGTTTCCTTTATTAGCCAGTTTTCCTAATGGCATTAACTGAATAAACCCTTTTTTTCATTGGCTTAAAATGCCACCTTTATCATACACTCTTTTCATGTGTATTTGGCCGGATCCTACATCTGTTTCATTCATTATTCCTTCCAAAGTACCCAACTTTTTTCATCATAATTTGGATTTAGCCACTTACCTAAATTCTTCAGATGATACTTGGGTATTACTACCAATAGTTGTAATCATTTTTCTGTTGATTCTTTTGGTTTCTAAGTATTGGATCACATTATCTGCAACTAATAAACTTTTTGCCTGTCTATTCTAATATTTATAGCTATCATTTATTTCTTCTGTTTCTGATATTAATGGAAATGTTTTTCCTCCAATAAATATAATACAGCCTTTTTGGTTGAGATATGCACTTTTTCTAATGTGAAGAGATTTTCCTTTTAGTAATAGTTAATAAAGAATTTTATCAAGAATTAAAGCTGAATATTTCTAATTGACTTTTCAGCATCTATGGATTATCATCTTTAATCTATCAACGTTGTGAATTATAGTGACAGACTTTTACATTGAACAGTCTTTTTATTCCTGGACTTGAACTCTTCTTGGTCATGTTCTTCTAGTAACGGTCTCCTGAAGTCTGTATTCTCAGAGTCTATTTAAAATGTGTCAATACTCATGTGTGAAATTGATGTTCAGTTATCTTTTGTGCTGCCTTTCATGCTTTAGTATTCATGTTATGCTGACTTTTTAAAATAAGGAAAGAGAATTTTAGAAGTTTTTTCTTCTTTTAGTACTGTCTGGAATAATTTAGTATCATTTCTTCTTGGCCAGCCCTCTTAAAATATAGGACAGCCCTCTTGTCCTTCCTCCCTGCACAGTTGACAATAGGTTATAGATTTGTAACTTCCCTCTACCCCCAGCTCTTTATTTGGAAGTTTTGTCACCTTTACAGAGGAGTTGCAGGAATATGAATAGTACAAAGAACATCCCCATACCCTTTACTCACATGTGTCTGTCAATAATACCTTAGCCCATTTGTAAAGTTTGACTTTTAATAAAAATTTCCTAGAGACTTGGAAAGAATAAAACTACAGTGTTAGAGAAGTGTATCAGTTAACTGCTGATGCTAGAAATGGTATTCCTAAAGTACACTTGCTCAGACCCAGCCTCTCTGTCCATTGCAGGGCCTCCTCAATGCTTTGTTTTTTTCCTGTCCTCCTCGTGGGCACCAGTAAGCCTGGCTTGGGAGTACAGGCCTGCTTGAGTCCAACTCAAGTGGTTTATCCTCAACTTGGTGTCTTGTCTTTAGAGGGAGAAGTTTTTCGCCCTATCCTGCTGCCCTGTAGGGCCCACCTCCTTTACAGCCTCTCATGATCCTAGTGTTCTGCCTTCAAGGGAAAGCTTGCCCCCACCCATGAGGAAGAGCCATCATGGAAGGCTAATAGTACGTTTCTCAAAGCATGGCCTCTTCCTTCTTGAGTAAAAAGATCAGGCCTGTATGTGATATTCCTATAGTCTGTTCTCTGCTTCTACTGTGAGAAAACAGACCCCTGTGAGACAAGAACGGATGAATGAAAACACACACCACTCATGCTTGTCTAAGAATAAGTAATTTTCAGATATGCCATCTAAACCTCTTTATAGGAAAGAAAGTTATAGCTTAATCTACAAGAACATGGAAATAGCTCTGCTAAAACATACATATATTTTATATATACACACACATACACATATATGTATATATATACACACACACACACACATACATAGTAAATGATAGAACATAGGATTTCAGTCTGACATTTTCCTCTCTGGATTTCTTTACTTCATTTAGTTCCTCATTAAGATGTTAAATATACATACCTAAAAGGGTCCTCTAAAGTAGTCTCTTCTAAAACAAATAGACCACCTATTCTAAAGACAAATCCACATCTCTGCCCTAAAAGGTACAAACTGCTTATAAATTTAAAATTGAGAAAATTTTCTAGTTTCAGAAAATTCTCAATCAGTAGGCATCTTCTGTATACAGTTGGTAAGTAAGAGCAATCACAATATTAAAAATTGAAACTGGTATTCTAGGGTCAGGATCATTGTTATTTAATTGCTCTTAATAATTTTATTACATAAGATGTTCAGAGAGCTTAAAATTGTTCTCAAGTAAAAGAGTAATTCATTATTTTGAAAATACTAATAAAAGTACACCCTTGAAGTTAGTGTGTTCTTTTAAATTCTTCCTGGGTAGTTACCTAGACAGTTGTACTATTATTAAGTAAAGGCTTTTGTTCTTAATAGGTGATTTAGCCTTAATTGTTATGAAACACTGGACAGTTTCACTTTATCAAATTCTTCGGTAGTTAGAGCCAACAGCTTTGAACCACCTATTGAGTGGGGTTATTTCTTTATACCTAAATCACTTGAAGTGTGTTATTGAATGTTATAATTGAATATTGGGCTATTCAGAATTCTTTGCAAAATACTGAAATCCAAGTACGTATTTAAAAAGTTTATTTCAAGGGTATAAATAGTTTCAGACAATTATTTCCCTATTTATATTTATAAATTTTATCTAGAACTCAGCTATCTTATGCTATGTATCACTTCTTTCCTTAATGGGAACATGACATTACAGTAATATACTTCTATTTTCTAATTTGGAATCATGTTTTATTTGTTTGTCCCATCAAACTTTATCTACTGATGGTGCCCCAAAAAAGAAATAATCAAAAGCAAATACCTAAGAATGTTAGCAACTGACTGCTTTACTTTGTGTTGATAAATATCTTTCTAATTACCAGAAATCATTAGTCATTTAACTACATGATCTTTCAATAGAGAGATGATGAATAGAAGATTTGGGGTTGTTAACCATGAAAGAAAACTGGTTAAAAACTGTACAACAGAAATTAATACAAAATTGTAAATCTGCTGTACTTTAATAAAAAAATTAAAAATAACATGGTTTTATTCAAGACAATCAAGGAAAAGGTGGACAAAAGAGATGAAAAGATGAAAAATTTCAACAGATTAAAAATAATCTAAACTAAAAATCTAAAAATATTTAAAAACAGATTCTGGTGAATATTTTAGAACTGAAAAATAATATATCTGGAATTAAGAACTCACTCGTTGGGTTTAATATAATATCAAATTAGGTACAAGAAGACAGGATTAGCGAACTAGAAGATGAAAATATCCCAACTTCTGATCAGATCAGCTTCCCAACACACCAAGGTTAGTTGTTATTCTTATCTGTACTTAGGCTAGTTCCCTCTCTCTTCCCCGTATCCTCAATCCACAGCTTCTCTTTTCCCAGCTGTCTTCTTTTCTACCTATTGTTTCAAGTCCCATTTCCACATATCCCTGTTGAAGACCTACATCCTTGATCTCAGTAGCAGACAAAATTAGGAAAATTTGAAAACTGGTTCATCAATAGGTGCTTAGCAGGCCAACATAGAACACTGCTAGTCATGCTACCTAAAGTGCACAGAAGTCCACTTTGGGTGATTGTCACCAAGTAAATTTAGCAACAAACAGAAGGGGAGTACCCAGTGATACAATCTGAGTCCCAGAGAAAGAATCTTATTTCCTAGGAAATTAAGAGTAGCAAAACAGACCCCTATTTCTAGAGAAATTGAAATTAAGAAAATGAGTTATGAAACCATGGAAAGAAGCAAAACCAGGGACTGATAGCTGTGGCATAGAGTTCGTGGCATGGCCTGTACACCCAGAGTAAGGCCATGGCTCAGTTCCTGGAACTGTGCTCGTGGTCAGAGTCGTTGCAGGAAAGCAGCAACACTAATGACCCCACGCCAGGTAAAGATCTCAAATTCTTGAATTTCTGCTACCTTGGAACTAAATTGTTCCCAGAATCTAGTGTAAGCAGATTCGGCTCTGAGAAATGGAGGGCTTTGAGGACAAGGAAACATATCAATCATTATACCACGTATCAGTGTATAATTGCTCTTTGGTTCGGATTTACAAAATTAAGTTAAATAAAACTTTGTTGTTTTCTCTTGGGGCTATATATACCACCATCAGGTAAATCTTAAATTTGGCTTTGTAGGCCTAAAGTTTGGGTTGTATTCTATTCCTTGGAAGGAGACATAGAATATTAAGGTGTTAATTTTATACTAAAATATGTAGGATATGTGTGCATTTGTGTATGTGGGTGCATATGTGCGTCCATTCCTAAGTTGCCTTAACCTGTTACCAAGCCCTTATCTAACTTAACCTCAATTTTATTCTTAAAATAGGTAGAAAACAAATTTTTATCTTCAACTGGATCTTGTTTCAATATTAAAAGCTTTTAGACTGTTTTGACTCAGTAATTGAATGTTGTGCCTCAGAACTTTGGTAACTAATAATATAACTGCTCTTGGATTGAAAGCTTTTCAGTTAACCTTCCTCCCTTTTGTTAAAAACTGCAGGTGCCTTTTCTGTGCCTGGGTCTTGCCTGCCCAGGGAACTTGAAGTCCTTGATCTTTATTTAGTCGTTCATTCACTCATACGTTCAGATAATATCTGAGCACTTACTCTACACCAGGTCAGAAACAAAATCACTTCCTACATTCCATTTACCACATTCCCTTTGGCAGTCTTTATTCCAATCAGAAGAATGTTTTTTAAGCAATTCACACAAATTTTCTCTTTCGACTTGGGGTTTGATTGATATATCAATCAAATAATGTAAGTTTGCTTGAACTATACTGTGATTACTTTTGGTGGTGTTAACAGCAGAAGTTAAAAGAAAAATACATACACAAAACAAGGTTTTCTTTCTTTTTTCCAGTTTTATTGAGATATAATAGACAAACCATACTATAAGTTTAAGGTGTGCAGCATAATGATTTGACTTACATACATCATTAAATGATTAATACGGTAAGTTTAGTGAAAAAAAAAAAAGATTTTCTTTATGGTGACTTGATGGATGTCCAAGAATTTATTTTCCTCTTTTCTTCTTTAATTTCACTCAACATTTAAAACTTATTTTACATTCATTGTTTTAGGCTTCTATGTCTTTTTTTTTTTCTTTGAATACTCTTGTAAGCAATGTCTGTATCTTTTAGTCTCTCTTTCTCATGGTTTGTAATAGTAACTACTTTTTTTAAGTCGGGATGTTTGAGGTATAATTTGTTCACTCCTCTAGGTAAATTCACCTTCTTAGTGTACAATTCTATGAGTTCTGCACAATGAGGTCGTACAGTGGCACCACAACATGTGGAACAGGTCCCTCGTGCTGCTGCCCTTCTCCCACCCGGCAGCCCACGATGTGCTTTCGGGCCCTGTTGTTTTGCCTTTTCCCGAATGACATAAGAATGGAATCATGTTGTATCCAGTTTTGGGGACTGACTTCTTTCATGTAGCAAAATACATCTGAGATTCATTCATGTTGTTGTTTGTTTGTTCCTTTTATTGCTAAATGTTATATAGCACTGTGTGGATTTACCAGTTTTTATCCATGCACCACTTGAAGCACATTTGGGCTGTCTCCAGCTTCTGACTCTTAGGAACAAAACCACTATAAACATGCATTTGGTAACTCATTTTTAAATGGGTACAGCTTAGAAATGAGACACAGATGACATAACTGTGAAAACAATCAAGTGAGAAAATACCAAAGATGTGGGCTCTCTGCTACTTTTGCATCCAGTTAACTGTGAACTTGGACAAATAATTTAACTCTCTGTGCTTACTTCTCTTGTAAAGTGTGCATGGTTTAGGACTTATTCTAGCTTTAAAATTACATGATACTTTGCTGTATAGGTAAAGTATTTACTTCTGTTTTAAGAGGAGAATTATATACCATCACATACATCTTTATAAAATTAAGTTGTATGAAACCAGTATAACTAATATTTAAAATAAGAAGTTGTCTTAGTCCAATCACAAATGACTTGAAAATAATATAATTTGTTTCATAAATTTTAAATGTCATTATAATCTTGAGCTTTTTATAAACTATGTAATCCAGTTGATTTTACTTTGGGAAAGTATTTTGATGGTAATATTCTTAAATAAAACATTTGGTAAATATTTCTTTCAAAATATTTTAGCATTTATTTATTTATTTGCTTGTTTTTAATTTAGATGGGTCTAGGGAAGACAATTCAAGCAATTGGCATCGCTTACTTCTATAAGGAAGAGTGGCCTCTTTTAATAGTGGTCCCTTCATCTCTGAGGTACCCTTGGACAGAAGAAATAGAGAAATGGATCCCAGAGCTAGGTCCAGAAGAAATCAATGTTGTTCAGAATAAAACTGATATTGGGTAAGAAGAACTTTTAATCTTTAAGAAAAAAAAAGCCTTCCAGTGTGTATGTAATATATACCAGCATTTGGAATGAAATAGCACATAATTTAGAATTAAGAGACTAATATGGAGAATTTTATTTTATATTTAAAAATATGAATTATTTATCTAAAACCAAACAGTATGTTTAGTGTCATCAGTTCCTTTATGGTATATTTTTAAAGTTATATGTAAAAAATATATATATATACACTTTAAAATTACTTGAATATGCCTACTTTATATATACTTTAAATATACTTTAAACTATTTTAGGGTATAAAAATAAATTTTACAATTTTTCAGTGATTAACTTGAAGCTCGTGAACTTCTGTTATCGACAACAATGGTAGGTTTTGCTTAGTTGTTAGTTAATGTGGAAGTTTTATGTAAAACAAAATTAATGTTAGCCAATTTTACTTTTTATTATATCAACTTATAATTTTAATATTTTCTACATTGAAAATATTTGCTTTGTGATAATTTGAAGTCCTTACTCTAAAAATCAATCACAGTATAGCTACTTCTTCTCATTTTGTTTTCTAGCCACTGGAGTAAACTGCATAAATTTGAATATTAATAATTTATTTCATGGAATTTCCAGGTGAAGCATGCAAATTATCATGTTCTTAGAAGTTCAAAGTTACCGATTTCTGAGCCTCAAATAAAAAGCAATGTATCCATTAGAAATAAATGTCTGTTAATACTTGGTTAGATTGTTTGTGTCTGGTATTCTACTATATTGTATTCTCTATGATTATTAACATAAAGAAATATAGAAATAAAGTTGGCCTTTATGAGTGTGGAAGGAGGAACCATATAAAATAGATGGCAACATTTTTCTTTCAACCTAAAACTCTAATTCAGTGAAATATGTCTTCATGTGCCCAGGGAAATTTAGACACTTTCCATGGTCAAGATAAAATGTAGACAATAATTATAAATAAATTTCCTCTCTTCTAATAAAACTACATAAACCTTAAGACTTAGGACTTTAGAGAATATAGAATTTATTAAGACCTCTATACCCATTTTCTGTTAGCTATCCCTTATTTAGAAGTTTACATGTAAGTATTCTTAAAATATTTCCCCTCTATCATTTTTTATGTGTTTAGGTCTTCTAATTTTTATTATTATTTTGGAAATATACTTTAGCAGTTAAATAGTGGCTAGTATTTTTATTTGAATAACACTTGGTATATGTTAGATAGCATTACAACCCCAGAGGATGACTTTTCTGCAGGATGTCAGCTAATGGCGGAAAACTTGCCCAGTGTCTTCCAGGAACTTAAAGAAACAGCTCTAGGTATATAGCAACATGTGACAACATGTATTACTGCAAATGCATATACCTCTTTTTGTCATACGCCTGTTATGCATGGACCGCCTGCTTGTCAAGACGTGACAGGATAATAGCTACAGTGACCTATGATGCCCTTGTCTTCTGTATATTCCTCTTAGTATATCTAAGTTAGTTAGTAGTATTAGCCCTATACTTTTCATCAGCAGACTTTCCTATCATTTGAGTGCAGTAGGAGATTCATTAAGTCTCTATATTAAATTCATTCAGGGCTTAAATGCAGTAATCCTTAAAAAAAATTAATTGTCATGTTGGTACTGGCCATTTAGGAGATCTGACTTTTCTGTTAAAGGGTAGAGAACTGCAGAAGATGACACCGTCCTGTGTTTTTCACTGGTGACATAGAAAATGCAAAAGTGACATGTTTTATTGTTAATGCATTTATTTATCTAATTATTTCATTCTGCAAACTCACTGGGAGCATAGCACTGTACATAACAGAGATGAATAAGACACATTCCTTACCCTCACCAGTCTTATGATATAATAAGAGAAATAAATACATAAGTGAATAATTTCATTATAGTATGATAAAGAATATTATAGATGTATGAATTATAGAGATAGTTTAAAAGATCAGAGATGACTTTAGCTTAGTGTATTTCTAGGTGAGGTTGTACCCTCCTCCTCTCTTCCTCAAACCTTATTGCCCCAGGGCAAGGACCATTTTTGTTGTCCCTGTGATAGGGACTCCACTGGCCTTTAATGGGAGGGTTCAGGAATGTGAAATACACTGCAGTACACTGGACAGCCGTGCAGTACTAAGTGTCATCCTGCTCAAAATTGCATTAGCACTTGAGTTGAAAAACACTGCTATCCTCTTTGTGGGAAGGCTTCATTGTATAGTCAACTAATATTTGCGTATCTACTTTTTATGTATGATCCTAGATGCATGGAAACAAACATTCTTAGAAAGTAATGTTCTTATCCTAGTAAAATGTCAAAATATTCCAAAAACCATTTAACCAGAAATTTGCTTTTGGTTAACCAAATTTTAAATTTTGAATTCTGATTTATCATATTTGAAGATGGCAGAATCTTAAGAGATACTACGTTTTAGCAGTAGTTCCATCTCTTCTTTTTCCTCCTTTATTCTCCTTTGTATTTCTTCCCAAAGAGTTATATTGTTTTTAGTAAATTGGTTATTAAGATATATTTAAAGTACATGGATTTTCTTTTCTAGGAGAATATCGACCAGCAAAGTGACAGTTCTGGGTTATGGCCTTTTAACCACAGACGCGGGGACTTTGATAGATGCTCTGAATGATCAGAACTTCAGAGTAGTTATTGTGGATGAATCTCACTACATGAAGTCCAGAAATGCAGCTCGCAGCAGGATTTTATTGCCACTAGTACAGAAAGCCAAACGAGCCATTCTTCTTACAGGAACCCCAGCTCTGGGAAGGCCTGAAGAGGTATCAACATCCTTATACTTTGGGCTTTAAACAAAGAACTGAATCCATCACTGTTTTTGTAAATTTTTAATTTTAAATTTGATGCCCCAAATGCCATTAGAACACATTGGGAATTTCTAGACAGCTGTTTATGATTAAATATATCTTTTGCCCTGACTGTATCTATTCACGTGTAAGCCTTAGCCATGCTTATAGTTATATATAAAAAATAGCTTTTACCTTTATTAAGAGATTTTCATATTTAATACACATTTGTAATATTCTTCACATTTGTGTTCTTATGGTTCTTCTGTGGTCTTAATTTTCATTTATCCAGTCTATTTTATATTATATTTTACAGCTCCCTAGGGTTGGGGTTGAATCTCCTTTGTATCTTTTGTACTACATTACATAACTTCTCTCTGTTCCTCTTTCACTTCAAAATCCACGTTTGGGGAGGTAGAGAGAAAACAGAAGTTCTACGCAGACCAGAAGAGATATCTACTTTGAATGGAAGAATAAGGCATTTATTTGATACCCTATTTAGCTTTTACAATTCTAAGAGGCAGTTGGGGTATGGAGTGATTAAAAAGCTGGGAAGGAAAAATGAAGGATGAAACACTATAGAGGTCAGTATAACCTAGGGAAGCCCTGTCTATTAAGGAGCACTCGGTCATAGAAAAATACACAGGCTTGTTGCTTGGTAGGGTTGTTGTGAGAATTAGAAGAAATATTGCTTTGAAAGTGCAGTGTCCTGTGCCTGGCACACAGTAAACGTTCAACTAAGTGTGTCCATTGTTGTTACTGATTATTAAGCCAGGCCTGAATGATAGCTATTGCAAGCATCTCTGCTGGTATTACCAAGGGTCTGCTTTTGAACGCCACCCTGGAATTCTTCTGAAATACACAGAACAGTGCATAGCCAATGATGATAAAATTCTCCATTTTACCTTTTATATTTTTTGCTCTTGAATACCTACTGGAAGTGGGAGAGTAGACCCCAAGTAATTTACTTATGTTCTAAAATTATGACACTGAATAATGGGATTTATTATGTCCTTATGAAAAATGTATAAGATGTATCATTTAAGAAGGAAAGTATATAAAATATATGTATATTTTAAAAGATAATAGAAAAATGAATACTCAGTTATTGATTATCTAGCATAAGAAATGGAATACTGGCAGTACAATAGTGGCCCTTGTGTGCCATGTGATTACATGCCAGTACCTTCACTCCTCACCCAGGATACCACTATTCAAAGCAAGGGTACATCCTGGTTTTGTGAATCATGATGATTATACAATTGGGGATGTTGAGACTCTTTAAGAAAAAAAATATAAAATTACAAACTCTAAATTAGGAGTTCTGAAACTGGGGTGAGTCCTCTAAGTTTGTTTCTCTTTTTCAAGATTATTTTGGCTATTCTGGGTCCCTTGAATTTCCATATGAATTTTTTGTAGAACTTGGCAATTTTTGCAGAGAATCTAGCTTAGATTTTCATAAGTATTGTGTTGAATCTGTAGATCACTTTGGAGTGTATTGCCATGTTAACAATATTGTCTAGAAATCTATGAACATGGGAGATCTTTCAATTTAGTTGAGTTTTTAATTAAATTTAACTCTCCAACAGTGCTTTGAAGTTTTAACAGTATAAGTCTTATGCTTCTTTTGTGAAGTATTTTATTCTTTTGATACTGTTGTCAATAGAATTTTCTTAATTTTATTTGTGAAATGTTTATTACAAGTACATAGAAGTACAATCATTTTTGTGCATTGATCTTGTATCCTGCTAGCTTGCTGAACTCATTTATTAGTTATAATAATTTTTAGTGGGTTCCTTAGGATTTTCCATATACACGATCATGTCATTTCCAAATAGAGATGGTTTTACTTCTTTCTTTCCAATCTGGATGTCTTTTATTTAATTTTCTTACATAAATAGCCAATTCTTGCCCTGGCTAGAACTTCCAGTACAGTTTTGAATGGAAATGGCAGTTGTGGGCATCTTTTTTGTTCCTAATCTTGTGTCTATATTCATACAAGATATTGATCTGTAGTTTTTTTTGTTATATCTTGGTTCAGTTTCTTATTATATCTTGGTATTGAAGTAGTACTGACCTCAGAGAATGAGATGGGAAGTGTTCCCTCCTATTCTGTTTTTTTGGAAGGGTTTGCAAAACATTGATATTACTTATTTTTTATTAAAAATTATTATTTTTTAAAAAATTAATTAAAAATAATTAATTATTAATTAATTAAAGAATTAAAAAATATTTGGTGAATTTGATGATGATTTCTGGGCCTAAGCTTTTCTTTGTGGGCAGATTTTAGATTAACAATTAGATAATTCATTTTCTTCACTGAGTAAATACCTATTCAGATTGTCTGTTTCCTTTTCAGTCAGTTTTGATACTTTGTGTCTTTTTAGGAAGTTGTCCATTTCATTGATGTTATCTAATATATTGGCATCCAGTTTTCATGGAATTCCTTATAATTCTTTGTATTTCTGTGAGGTTTATAGTGATGTCCTCTTTTATTTCTGGTTTTAGTAATTTGAGTCTTATCTTGTCAGTCTAGCTAAAATTTTATCAACTTTGTTAATCTCTGTAAGAGCCAATTATTGGTTTCATTGATTTTTTTTTTTGTATTGCTTTCCATTTTATTTAAATTCTAATCTTTATTGTGTTACTTCTTCTGTTTGTTTTGGGTATAATTTGCTCTTCCTTTCCCAGTGTCTTAAGGTGAAAATTTAGATTATTAATTTGAGAACTTTCTTCTTTTTTTAATATAGATATATACCAATATAAATTTTTCGCTAAACACTGCTTTCACAACATCTCATTTTTGGTATGTTGTCTCCTCAGTTTCATTTATTGCAAAGTCTTTCCTAATCTCTAATTTCCCTTGTGGTTTCTTTGTTGGAACAGTTGGTTATTTAGAAGTATGTTGTCATATAAAAAGGATGTAAAGCAACAAAGCCACGGTGGAGGACACTTTGGCCATTCCTTAATAAGTTAAAAATCAAATTACTGTAATACCTAGCAGTTTCCTTCCTAGGTATATACCCAGGAGAATTGAAAACATATGTTCACAAAAACTATATCCAGGTGTTCATAGTGCCATTATTCATGATATCCAAAAAGTAGGAAAAAGTGTCCGTAACTGCTGAGTGGATCAACAAAATGCAGCCATAAAAAGGAGTGAAGTGCTGATTCACTCTACAGCATGGGTGAGCCTTGAAGACATTATGCTGAGTGAAAGGAGCCAGACACAAAGACTACGTATTTTATGATTCTATTTTTATGAAGTGTCCAAAATAGGCAAATTCATAGAGCTAGGAAATAGATTAGTGGTTGCCAAGCCTGGGAGAGAGGGAGAATGGGATTAGTAATGGGTATAGATTTTTTTTTTGAGTCATAAAAATGTTCCAGAATTAGATAGTAGTGATCAAAACACAACTTTGTGAATCTCCTAACAGGCACTGATTTGTACACTTTAAAAGTCAGAACAATAAAATCGGAATATGAATTTGTATCTCAAGCAGTTATTTTTAAAAAAAATATTAAAATAACAGACACTACTATGTACAGCCTATTAAAGTTATAAAAATGGAAAGATTTCATGATACAGTTGATGAAAGCATAAATTGGGACCATTGTTTTTTACAGTGCAGAATGGTAACATCTATCAGATTTTGAAAAGCATATACCTTAAATCCACCTGTTTCATTTCTAAAAATGTACCCTATAAACCCATCTAATACAAATGCATATAGGGGGATGGATGGATGGATGGATAGACAAACAGATGATTGATAGATGTAGATGCCAATGCATATATATATCCCTACACCCACGTATATTTATATATGTGTACTCATACATGTAGACTTAACAAAGTTATTAATTTTTAATAACTGCATGAAAGCTAGAAACAGCCTGTATGTCCACTATCAGAAGACTGTTTAAATCTTTTACACTGTATCTACGTAATAATCTTTTACAGTGTAGCTACATAATAATAAGCTACATAATAACAATGTTTTATTATTTTAGTAGATTGCTTATGTGATTTTTAAAACTAAATAAAATTAGACATACATGTGCTTTAATGATGTCTAAGATACGTTTTGGGGGACAAAATTCCAGTTGTGTATGTGTAGTATGATCCTTTCCTGTGAATAAAAGAGAATAAGTACATAAGCTTATGTAGACATACAAAGTATATAAATGTATATTGAAGAAAAGGTTAGCAGTTATTCCTGAAGAATAGGATGGCAAGGATGGGTGGATGGAGGGGAACGAGGAGCCTTGAGGGAAAAGGTAGATTTTCTTTTTCACTTTTTACTATTTCATTAAGTGGATTCATCACAGTAATAATAGTTTACTAGAAAATAGTATAACATGTTGAAGACACTTGTGTTGTTTCAGCTTTTCATGCAGATTGAAGCTCTCTTTCCACAAAAGTTTGGAGCATGGACCGACTACGCCAAAAGATACTGTAATGCACATATCAGGTATGACAAACTATTTTCTGTAAGTTTTAACCCTCTCATATTACCATGAACATTAAACTTCATTAGTTAGCCTTTGTCCTGGTGTTCTTCAAACTTGTGGTAGCTCTAGAATATTTTCAAGTAAAATCTTGTGTGGATGACGCATATGTAAAAAAGGAGTCAATAATGGAAGTTTTTCTTTATTTTTTACCTTCCAAACATTTCATTTTTGAAATTATTTAATTGTATTGATACATGTGCATATTATGAAAAAGTGAAAAGTAAGTACCCATCCCACCTTTGTCTCACAGTCAGCCATCTCCCTTCCCAAGTAACCAGTGTTGGCGGTTTCTCGTGTATCCTTCTAGAGATACTCTATGCATGAAAAAGCACATATGATTATGTATGTATAACATTATTTTATTTCTACATAAACTATTTGCTGTCTCCACCTACAACTTGCATTATCAGTTACTAGAAGAACGTTGCCATTCTTTTTACATGTTCCATGTATTCCACTGTACAGACGCACTGTAATTTACTTATGTAGTCTACTATTAATAGACATTTGTTTGTGGTATATAGCTGATGCATACAATGCAGCAATGAATATCTTTGCAGGTGTTGAGAAGTAATATATTACAGTGGCAAAGAGCATGCAAAACTAGAGCTAGACCCCTTGTGTTTTATATTCCTATTCAGTACTTCCCAGGTGTTTCATTTTAGAACAGTAACTTTATCTCCCTGTACCTTAATTTCTTTAGCCCTATAAACAGAGAATAATTATTCCTGCTTCAGAGAGTTATTATGAGACTTACATTAGCTGATATTTATAAAGGACTTGAGCAATGACTGGTACATAGTGAGCACTCAATAATTATTAGCTATTTTAATATTTTGTGTCATGCACATGGAAATAAATCTGTAAGATAAATTTATTAGAAGTGGAATTGCTGGTACAAAGGACATATGCATTTTTATATTTTATAAACATTTGCAAATTATTCATATACCAATAGAAAACATATACCAATTTATATTCCCACAGCAGTAAGATTTTTCCCCACACCTTGACAACATATTTAAATAGAAATTATTTTATCTTGCCAATGTGATCTGGTAGTAATTTTAATACACGTTTGTCTTATGTTGTTAAAGGCAGTCAAGCATTTTTTCATACATGTAACTCACGTGTACTTCTTTCCTGTCAGTTGTCTATGTTCTTTGCTCTTCATTCTACTAAACTTACTAGCTTTTTTTCTTATTGACATATGGGAAATCTTTGTATATTATAGAAGTCAGCTCTTTACTTGTGATATAAGTCCCTCACTCTTTGTCTTTCTGAAATCACCCCTTATGGTTATTGTATTCTGATGCTTTTTAAAAGGCCCTAGAGCACAGGGGTAGACAGAGAATCCTTCCAGATTGTTTGTATATCGGCAGTTTAACAGTGATCCCCAAAATCAGGCAAGATAGCACACCCCCCCCAAAAAACAAGGACCTTTTTCTATTTAAGACTATACATACAGAAATATTCAATATTAGTATAAACCAGAAACTCATTAAAAGGCCTATTAACCATATGCAAGTGGAATTTATATGAGGAATGCAGCCATAGATTAATATTGGGAAGTCCATCAATATAATTAGCCATGTTAATAATGAAAAGGAAAAGCTACATTTCATTTTTTCCATTTATGCTGAGATGTAATTTGATAAAATTCAGCATTCACCCTTTGTTACAGTTTTTAATAATCTTAAGGTATGCATGTGTGTTACTTATGTACGGGTGGCAGTTGTCTGTGTTCTTTGCCCTTCACTCTACTAAACTTACTGGCTTTTTATCTTACTGATTTACTGGAAATCTTCATATATTACAGAAGTCAGCTCTTCATCTGTGATATGAGCCCCTCACCTTTTTTCTCTCTGTGTGAAGTAATCCCATATGGTAAACATACATATGCATACCTCTCAAGGCATTTTCTTCTAGATTCCATTTCAAAAGTTTTGTGTTATTCCTTTACTTCTTTACCTTGAAAGCACTATGGTTCCATAGACACTGATTTAGATCGAGGCACTTCCTGGCATTTTAAGTTAGTCTGTGGAATGTTAAATTTTTTTCCCCAGAATGTTTGATTCTATAAAGTTGTCATTTTCACACTATAATGTTACAGAAACCAAATTATGGTTAGTTCTTCAGTTTTAGATCCTTATTTTATATTTGAAATGTCATGACTATATTAAAAATAAAGTTAAATGAAGCTTGAGCAAAAATGTAACTTTGCCTTTGTAAAGTTTATTCCATACATAAGTGATAGGAGACAGAAGTGGACATGATGGGAAACAGAATGTGAATGTGATTTAGAGATGAGAAGTCTAGGTATAGGTAACTACCTACCAGGTTTGGTTTGAGAGGCACAGAGAGTATTACTTATTCAGAGCATCCCAGATCCAAAGTCCCTTACATCATTCACTCTCCTGGGTTATATTTAGAGGAAGCTATAAATGCAGATATGATTTGGAGAAGACAGCCCATTGAGTTGTCAACCATTAGCACATTAGAGCTAGAAAAGCTTTGCAGTCACACAGTCCCCGCCTCTGTCGTTTTACAGGCAAGGTTAAATGGCTTGCCCTGTATCTGACTTCCTCTTATATATATTTTTTCACTTTTCCTGGCAGTAAAGAAGATTTAGGGAATGGCAACTTTGATAAATATTCTTTTACATAGAAAAAAAGGACAAATAGGTAATCCAGCCAGGATTGGCTGCTGGCATCCTCTTAGCAGCAGCCCCTCCCTTGATGTCATGCTTAAAGGTTAGGAATGTGTTCATAGTAATTTGCCAAATTTTCTGAACTTTCTTTACAGTTGATATTTTGTGCCAGTTTTACCTCTTAGGAGAAACAATTATCTAAATTGTTATGAGAGGGAGAATGTTGAGTGATAGTACATTTTAAAGGTATTTATAGTCATTCCCCAAAAGTGTTAGTTAATAGGTCATGTCAGCTTCAAGAAATGTCTTTTATGGAACTGCAGTATGCTTTGTCCTTAGCACTGTTGCATTTAACGTTCTCATCTATAGCTAAATAGAGGTCAGGTCTATTCCATTTGCAAATGGCTCAAATCTGAGAGAAATAGTTAACATACTGAATGGCAGAGATAAGTTTGAAAAATAATTTGATAAAAATTCTGCACTTTATGCTTAGAAAGTCTGCTTTGTATGGAAGGGATTTGAGAAATCCTCACCTATTATCAGTAGTTCAGTTTAGTTTAAAAAGACTTCTGTTTTGAATAACCCTAGGCTAAATTAAAGTCAAGTGTCTATCATAAGTGATAAAAAATTAAGTAATATTAGGACACATTAATGAAACTGGCATCCAGAGTAAGTGATGCTTCTGCTTCACTCATTGATTAGCCTGCATCTGGAGTTTAACTTTGAATTAATCCATTCATTCAAAAAATATAGGGAGATGGGTATAGCT